TTGTTGACAGTAGGATTTGAACTCCAGACCTCTTGTATAGCGATCTGGCAACCTAACTACTACACTAAGATCGCCAAACCTCATATTTCCTATTTTCTATATATATCTAATTTAAATAATTGCTATTTTTACTATTAGAAATAGAGAGGTTAGAAAAAACCTTTTTGATAAAAATAAGAATAAGAAAAATCATGAGATACATAAAAAAAGTGAGTAATTTTGTAAGAACTATCTTGTAATATAGGTATCTATATTAGTTTGATATTGAGTTTGTGTAGAAGTTTTTTTAGAAGTAGAGATTAGTAAGTTGTAGGTTTTGTTTTTTTTAGTTAGTTTTGTGTTTTAGTAAGTCTCATTCTTCTATATTTTGGTGTTTAGATAGTATATCATGATAATTGTCTTAGTTTTAGGTTGTCTACTAGTTTTTCTGTTTAATCTCTAGAGACAAAATCTATTTTCTGATAGTTTTAATGATAACTCGCATTTAGCTAATAGGTAATCAGAGTTCTAAAAGTGAGTTTTTGTAGTTTTGCATATATAGTTGTGATCACTATCAATAAAAATATAATCAAGCCTTGTTATCATTAAGTTTTTACTTCTTATACGTTGATTAAAGGTAATAAAAGTTTTTCTTCTAAGAAGATAGCTGTATTTATAAAATCTATTAATTTTAACTTGACAAGTGCTCTTAATGGGTTATATTGTGAAGCTGCTTGACTTATGCATTAATCTCTAGGTCTAGATTAGTGTTAAAGTTCTCTGCTAGGATATTTAATATTCTTCTTTGTATATTGGTGACCAATTTGTGAAGAATGTGGTTCTATTATTTATGCTTAGAGGAGTATAAATATTTGTTATCCAGAAGGCTTGATTTCTAATTTCTGTTTGTGTTGAGATTACTCAATCTTCATGTAAACTTATACTATTTTTTAGTTTAATATTTTTTCTTTCTGCTAAAATAGCTATTCTTTCTGATCAGAATAAGTTATAGCCTATTGTTGCACTAGAAAGTCTCTGGTTAATTTGTCTTTAAGATTTTTTTCTTGTATTAAAATTAAGTCTAAGTAGTAAGATTTTAAGAGTGTTAATATATTTTAGGCTTTGGATCTATTGTTTAAACCTTTTATATTTAGTGTAGTGATTTTAATCATAGTTGTTGATATAGAGAGTTTGTTAGCTACACTTGTTTAATCTTAATATGTTAGATTTGGTTCTTAGGGAAGCTCTGAGTAGAGCTTTTTCTTGGTTATTCTGAAAAAGAACTACCATCTTTTAAGCTATTTTTCTTTTTATATTTCTTAGAAGTTACAATATTAAAGGTAATCTTCTTCATGTTGTTATCTTTTTCTGAGTATGAGTTCTTAACTATTTTTGTTAGATAATATTTGTTAGCTTCTTTTGTTATATTTTCTGAGTCAGTTTCTGTAGTAGTTTTAGCTAGATTATCTTT